GTTAACACTTTGTCTCTAGGCTTTCACTGATAGTGTGAGGAAAGGGAATGTTTTTGCAAAAGTCGCGTAAAGTTCTGCCGATGCACGTTCTAGGAACGTGGGTGCCGACATGTCGTGTGGAGAGCATCTCAGACCGCTGTCATGAATCAGCTACCTTTACTTTGGTTGTTAAACTCACGTATTTTTCGTTGCATCGACTTCTGGTGCTTAGCTGCTTGGACAAGACAGACATTTGTTAAGGTGGACCCCATTGCTCCCGACTGCTTTTCATTCAAGTCCTGCAAATGAGTGTACCTAAGATGCGATCATTTCCACTACTGTCCGTTTATGAGCACTAACAACCATTCTTAGTAATTTATTTATTCGTAGTATTTTTGTTTGGTTGCGAAGTACTTTCCCTATCATAGTTTCCCGTGTGCTAAATGAATACAGAGAGCACAGTATTTTTTAAGCGATCTTCCAATTCACATATTACAGATCCAGTATTTAAAGTCTGATCAAATTTTGGTGCAATTGTAGGCCAATGTCAGACATTGCGAATCGAACGATTTGTTGGACGTCGCGTTGCGGTACCAGCCAATAGAGCGACTTGCTGGACGCGACGCGATCGCATACGCTAGCGAATCGCTCGATTCGCGAAGTCTGACATCGACCATAGTCAGGGGGAGTCATCGCAGAACTGTAATGCATCCAGGCAAGAACAATACGGCAAAAGTAACTTTTTGCCAGGCAAAAGTTCTGGAAGGGGTGAATCATTCTGCATGTACAAGAAGGGGACTAAACGAGTCAAAATTGGAAACGTTTGCGAAGGCCTTGAGTGAGTAGCTCAAGATGTACCCCCTAACTACACTTGAGCCCGATCCTCTCTTCCTTACCTTAAAGATGTATAAATCTACACAGAAACTTTGGAAGAGAGTTTCGGAGGACTAAGTCATGTAACACAGGTTCCTCATTATCCTAGCGATTTGTCTATGGTAACACCTTAACTTTGAATAGACACCTTCCTTTCCCATCAAGCGATAATTTTGGAAAGCTCGTAAAACTTATAAAGTCGTGCCCATTCTTTTTAAATGTAATTATATCAACGAGTATCAATGATGAATCTTCAGATGGATAAAGCTCCAATCATACATATCTTGCGCTCACAATGCTATCTATCTTGACAACGAATTTTACGAAAAGGATTAGGTGTGTATCGATCGATGACATTATTCCATTCTCCCAAAGACGTAGCCAGTAAATCAACCCCGACCAGTTCACAAGTATTTGCCGACTGTCCGATTATCCTAGTCGACACGTATCGAATCTTTTTTCCAGGACTTTCCGATTGTTCAGTTCGGGGCAGCCTATGAAAGGAACTGCGCTGAATATAAATACAGCCTGCATTCAGCTCAATCGATGATTATTCATGTAGTGCATTTTTGCTCGGATTCCATAACAATTAACTTTGAACTTACATCTCTATGTCGATTCAATTCGCTCGGTTAATTACATTTCGATGCGAACTTTGCACGATTTAGAACGAATTGATTCTCGCGTTCATCTGCAAGGTCATCTCTTTGTTGAACATCGTATTAATTCGAAACAAATACCTATGTTCTTTGACTATATAATCATCAAAGATGTAAATTCAACGTTTAAAAGTTTTCCTACGGTGACTGGAAAATCACGCATTCAAATGAAAGCGCGCAGAAATGGCGCAGCGCGATCGATCAATAGCTGCACGCCATGGTAGAGTCGCAGACGGCATAAAGGATTGGTTTTTTTGGCGCGCAAATTTCCATCAGTGCTGGTGGTAGGGACATTTTGAAAAATCACGGAGGCAGTAGTTCAAACTGTGGCAGTTATGCAAACTTTTGGGAGTGTCCCCAATCGAGTCACGTACCTTTCCCTATTCATGAGGTAAATTCATATGGAAACCACGTACTGAGCCGCTACCTTCCAGCGACATTAGGTCCCAATTTTATTTGTAAGTCGTGACGCTATTGTGTATATGCTTTTGCAATGTTTTGGTAATCAAACAGATATGTGGGGTACTTGAACAAGTGTTGAGCACTTCTCAGCCTAAGACGTCAGCTGTTCCACTGCATGTTATCTTTCTGAAATGACAGCCGCGTGGAACTTAACGCACTCTTTGGTTTTTGTTTGCAAGAAAGAAAATGTGAGCTAATTTTCGGGATGCAGCGTCCATGTCGATCTGGCCGTTGCAGGCAAAGCCCAATATCCCCAAGGTTGGGGATATGTCCCCTCACCCAACTAGGGGATATATCCCCAAGGTTGGGGATATGTCCCCAAGGTTGGGGATATGTCCCCAAGGTTGGGGATCCCTCCCCTAATTGGGGCTTGCTGCACCCGGCCCCTATTTTCCTGTGATTGTTGCTGGCGTGCAGACAGGAGTTATAACTAATGAAATAGTTCACATGTAGAGGAGGTGGAGGATGATAGAGAAAACCCGCTGCGGGGTAGAAGCTTACCTCAGCGACAGCACGACGAAGCGGAACACCGCTAAGCGGGAAGTGCGCTCACAAATGTAGCCGACAGATCAGACATTGCTGAGCTTGAAGCTCGAGTTCCGTCGCATAAGTCGGATTACTACTTTTGGGAATTTTCCCCGACCTCAGCCAGAAGAAGTCACGTGCAAACAGAGTAATGCTGGGCACTACTCATCATGTCTTTTTCTGACGGTGTCGAGAAAAATCTTCCGTGAAGTTCAGATGGTCAGCTTACTCATCTTGATCCCGCTGTTGGACGTCGCAGACAGGGCGTTTTCATAGTCGGTCGTCAATCGTAACGATCCCACAACTTAGATACGTATCGATCGTCTAATCCGATCAGACATGTCTGACGATCAGACATCCGATACATATCTAAGGCTGGTGTCAGAGTCGGCGATCCGTCGCAGGTTTCGCAGGTTCCACGCTATTTGCGCGGATCGCAAAATTGAAAGTGTCTCATTTGAACACTTGAAACACTAAATATGAAACAAGCACAATCATAAACAGTCGTCGTTCAGCCATCACCATCAAGCAGGAATGGCGGCGGGATTGGAGAGCACCTTGCAGAACTGATCGTGTACTTCTGATTTGTGACCCATCGCGCGCAACGTGCGAAACCTGCGGCGAATCGCGGACTCTGACTCGTTGCGATCGAACGGTCGCCCATGAAAGCGTCCATGGCGACTGCCACTCTGAAACCCAGAAATCAAAATCTGCCTGAAATCTCCTAGCGGGAGAAATTTTGGTTGACGGGAGCCTTGATCATCTAAATTTCCCAATTAGTCACAGGAAATCGTTCAATGGCTTTTATACTCTGTAATTTTCAAGACAGAAAACTTTTATTCGCAAATGCTAAATGGAGAATCACATTCGGAAGGTAAAGTGTGACAGTGCCATTTTTTGGAAAAGGCTCCGGAACAAGTTACGTGCGCAGACATTTCTTCGCTCTTTGATGTTTGCGAAAACGTTCAGAAAATCCAAACTGACAGCTAGAGTCCATGAAGTACCACTCAGTAATTACTGAGAAAGTCATGAACGATTTCAAAACGTTCTATGCACTTTAAATCAATTCAACTGAAGATGTAGCCGTTTCTCCTCGTATTTTTTCGTAGTTTCTGAGTCTCTTCTAGCCAATTTCATATTTGAAATCTAAATTACCTGATAACTGATAACGCTATCATTCGTTTTTGGCCGAAGCGTAGGCGAACTCAAAGCAGCGATTTTTTTCTACAGCGAACTTCTGTCTCCACTATTTTGGCGTTCTGTAATCGTATTCCAATTTGTTATCAGTATGTCTCAGATAATATGCTCGCGTCGGCTATGTATGCGAGTGACATCAAAAAAAAACAAGATTTTAATAAAGAACTTTTTAGGGTTAAGTGATCTATAATCAATTGCCGGATAACGTGAACCAGTGTCAAAGGTGAGGTTTGCGGTTTAGATGGTCCCAAAACGATTTCCTTTGCAGTTTTGTGATGAGTTGTTATAGGTTTACCGTAATCTTGATTCTTGATTTGGGCCTAAAATTGACCTCACTGCCTCATTTGCTGCTGTGCGCTGGTCGGGTGAGGTTGTCCTCACCTCACTCTGGTTTTTACCTTCCTTCGTCGGTACTTTGTCTTGCCTTACAGTTGTCATTGGGGCTGTTGGCTTCCGTCCTTGTCTGCGTGGAGCATCTTCAAGCGCGTGGCCCTCTTCTACTAGTCTATTGGTTTGCTTTCAAGGTGCAGCACAATAGTGAGGTGATGGGTCCGAATCAGGGCCGGGGTGGTTCGCCACAGCTATGGGTCGTCCATGGCAAGGGGGTACATGCCTTGGGTTTGTGGCCCGCACATGTACCCGAGTTGGGGCCTGACAGGGCTGGCAGTCGTGCTTTTTTATCGCTCTTGGTAATCAGCCTTCCGTTGCGGTCGTGTACCAAAAGTGCACGAACTTGGTACTTTTGACTGGGACTTCATAATCCGAGGGGTTCACTAGTGAGGTGCATTTCGCCCAAGATAGGTGTCACTAATCGGCGTCACCCGTATTCACCACTTATCGCGTGCGATATTTCTAAATGCGGTTGTCCGTTTGTGTAACCGCTCCGCGTGCGGCATGCCGCGGGTTCTGTGCGATGTCGCGCCTTGACTGATGAAGCAATACCGTTGCCCCGGGTGGATTGTTCGTTATATGCACTAGGTTTAAGGGCGCAATGCGGGCGGTGCAGCCGCCGCGCGCGGCGTTGCGGCAACAGGAATTCGTGAGCTAGGGGAGTGTAGCCATTCATGGGTGGGGCGGGGGGGGTTGAGAACAGTGACTTAGCATGCGTGAGAAGCTGGAATGTCCGTCAGGAGCTGGAATGTCGAGTTACAGTAAATTCGCTGAGCCGCGCGCGGCGACTGCCCCCTCCCCCCCCCCGAGACACATTGCGCCGTATTAAGTTCTGAGTTTATCGCCTCAAGGCCCAAAACGCCCTAGGTTCCATTGTTTTGGTTCAATAATTGTCTTTTTTCAGGTAATTCGATCATGCTGGTCTCAAGGTTCGCTGTTCCTTTACTCGGCTACAGCTATGGTGTGCAGAATGTGAGTAGCGGTCAACATCACTGTCTCTAAGGCCTACAGTAAAGTACAGTTTCAGATCGCTCGTATGACTAGCACAATCGCGCACACCGTAAAGGTGCAGGATCATATTGAGAAGACGCGGGCAAAGGCTGTACTCGGTGGTGGACAAAAGAGAATTGATACGCAACATAACCGAGTAGGTGGAGAAGCGGTCAAAGGGAAGCCTGTTGATAATGAAGTGTATTGTTATACTGGTAAATTACAGGGAAAGCTGACTGCACGCGAACGAATCGAATTACTCTTGGACAAGGGCACCTTCCGCGAGTACGACATGTTTGCTGAACATACGTGTACCGACTTCAACATGCAGAAGCAGAAAGTTAGTGGCTTGTTTGGACTTGTTCAGCCTCAGCAGTAAATTCGATCATTTCAGGTACCCTGTGATTCTGTGATTACTGGGCGCGGTCACATCAATGGACGCAACGTGTACGTGTTCTCGCAGGACTTCACCGTTTTCGGTGGCTCGTTGTCGATGATCCATTCAAAGAAGATCTGCAAGATCATGAGAGTTAGTGACAGTCTAGTGTTCAGTGACATGGGTGACTCCAAACTGGTTATTTGCAGGAGGCGATGCTTGTCGGCGCTCCTGTCATTGGTCTCAACGATTCCGGTGGTGCGCGTATTCAGGAAGGAGTTGAATCACTCGCTGGATATGCTGATATCTTCCAGGTACGCGTTTAATTGAAAACCCTTGACCTTGCCACCGTCAGGGGGGGGGCACGTCTCCACATCAGCTGAAATTCGTGGCGCGGCGCTTACATACCTTAGGGAGGGGGAACGTCAGGTGCGCGCCACGTGTCCGCACTAGCCGAAATTTGCGGCGCGGCGCTTACATACCTGAGGGAGGGGGAGGGTCAGGTGCACGCCGAGTGTCCGCATCAGCCGAAATTTGCGCTGGGCATGGTGGGGCCGGAGGGGGGGCTAGGGGTAAGGTGCACGCCGCGTATCCGGGGAGGATTTACTGGGTGTGGTTTGCCAAGACAGAAAACGACTTCGCGCTTTTCTCAACGTGAAGTTTTACGCTGTGAGAACCCTTGTTCAACTCTTTATCAGTGGTGGGGCTTCGGTTCCTGCAGTGGGAGGACTTTCGCGCTGCGAAGAGCGAGGAATTCGCTTTCTGTTCTCGAGAAGCACATCCGGCTTCGCAGACTACATGAACTTTCTTCTGTGTTCCTGCCATGAATAGCAAGAAAAGATTAGAGAGCGGCGCCTCGCTCAACTCTATGTTACCGAGGTGGAAGGTGGAACACTAAGATTAAGCCTTTTAAGGGGGAAGGGGTGGGTCTCTGAGGTGCGTGAGCAAATTGCAGTGTGGCAGAAGTTCCATTGTGTAAGATCACAGTAGTCATGAGCCGCTGGTCAGGCGAGAAAGCGCAGGCGGAAGCATCAAACTGAGGTGATTCGATGGACCGAATTGAAGTAGTCCGTAGACGGGGGAGCTCATTATGCAGAGCCCAAGATCTCCCCCCTACCCTCCCCCCCCTTACTAAGATTGAGGTCAGCGTGGACGGGGGGGGGGCAGTGTAGCGAATTACTTTGTTCGTACCTTTCTAAGGTCAGTCCGCATTACGATGCCTTCCCTCCCCCTCCCCCCTTAGTTCATCGGCGCCTGCGGCACTTGGTGCGAGCGTTTAGACAGCTTGATTTTAAGCTGTGCTCGTGCCTATGTAGTGGCCGCCTGCAAGTTGGTTGCAAGTGCGCCACGTCACTGCTTACCCAAGGAAGCGAGTAATTTCAAGCGGTTGTAACGGCTCACACTTACGCTGCGGTTTTTGCGCTGGCTTACCCGAGATATGCACCCTGGTTCATACCGCCTCCAAAAAGCGATTCTTTTTGTTTCAGGCAAATGTGTCAGCTTCTGGAGTTATACCGCAGATCTCACTCATCATGGGACCGTGTGCAGGTGGTGCCGTCTACTCGCCTGCTATCACTGACTTCACGTTCATGGTTCGAGACACGAGTTACCTTTTCATCACTGGTCCGGACGTCGTTAAGGCCGTTACCAACGAGGAAGTAACCCAGGAGGAACTCGGCGGCGCCAAAACACATACAGTAACATCAGGTATGAATTTCAGCTGGTCAGCTATCCGGAAGTGGATTACTGAAAACTGTTTAAGGTGTGGCTGTTGGCGCTTTCGAAAATGATGTGGATGCGTTAATGAGCATGCGTGAGCTCGTTAACTACCTTCCACTTTCGAACAAGGACCCAGCCCCTGTTAGATCCTGCGATGATCCATGGTAACGATTTTTCTCTTAATGTGATATGTTATTTATTCATGAGATGTTTTAGGGATCGTGATGTACCATCACTCGATACTGCTGTTCCACTCGAAAGTACTACTGCATACAATATGAAAGACGTTGTCCTTGCTCTGCTGGATGAAGGAGATTTCTTCGAGATTGCACCAGATTTTGCAAAGGTTCGTTGAGTGTTAAGTATTGCCACAAAAAATCGATAAACTATTCCCGTAAGCCCATTCATTTCAGAATATTGTCGTGGGTTTTGGCCGCATGAATGGTCGCACAGTCGGTGTGGTAGGTAACAACCCGAAGTTTGCCGCTGGTACGTGTAGGAGCTTATTTCTGTCAGTACAATCTATTAACAAATGTCCTTTTCAGGATGTCTCGATATCAACTCATCAATAAAAGGAGCCCGTTTCGTACGTTTCTGTGACGCTTTCAACATTCCACTTGTAACTCTAGTTGATGTTCCTGGATTCTTGCCTGGTGCGAATCGTTTTGCTCTATTTGACAGGATATTCGTATGAAAAAGTTGAAGTGTGAAGTATTTCAGGAACGGCGCAGGAATACGGAGGTATTATTCGTCATGGAGCCAAGTTCTTGTATGCTTACGCTGAAGCAACTGTACCGAAGATCACGGTCATCACCAGAAAGGTAAGCTCATGATCGAGTGGATGTGAGATCCAACAGATTGGCCTTGCCGTATGCAATAGTACCCGGCCTGTAAACTAGGTGCCCTTAACAGCAGATGACGCATTCACCATGGTCAAAAGGAGTGGATGCGCCTTGAGAGGGAGAGTTTTGGGGATCCATGACCGACCGGGTAGTGCTGCAGGTCCCTGTCGAAATAAGGCTGGCGTTAGGAATCGCAAGAATTACGAGTGCCCCATTTAAACATTTGAAACACTGGATATGAAACAAGTAGAATCATGAACAGTCGTCATGCGACCATCAGCACCAAGCAAAAATGGCGGCGCGATTGAAGAGCACCTAGCAGATTGCTTGGGCACTCGTGATTTATGTGATCACGTGAATCGCGCGGCGGATCGCGGACTCTGACACCAGCATAGGGGCTTACATCGGTGGTCTTTGAGAATACTCAGGAAGAGTCAAAAAATATGTCTTGTTTGTTTCAGGCTTACGGTGGAGCGTACTGTGTCATGTCATCGAAACACCTTCGCGGAGATATCAACTACGCATGGCCAACCGCTGAAGTAGCTGTGATGGGAGCCAAGGTACGGATTCCTTCCCTCTACCGTCAGTGGTAGTCAGGGTTTAACCTGAAGTTGTTCAGGGCGCTGTATCGATTCTGTTCCGTGGGGATAAGGATGTAGCAAAGAGAGAGGAAGAATACGTTGACCTCTTCAGCAATCCCTTCCCTGCTGCAGTTCGTGGTGAGTCGGACTCTTGATAGACATATATGAAATCAAGGATTGTTCTCCATCCAAATATGGACTGTTGATCCGCCCTGTTTCAGGTTACGTTGATGACATCATCGAACCACATACCACACGTCGTCGAATCTGCGAGGATCTCGCTCTGCTTGAAAGCAAGCAACTGTCGAACCCGTGGAGAAAACATGGAAACATCCCACTCTAGACCTTATGTGTAGTTCGTGATTCGTCGTTTTCCATTTTTATCCTATTTCCTACAAAAATGCCGAGTTCCTCCCCCATGCCTTATTCGTTATCCGTACGGATTTCTCTGGCATTCCACCCCTCACATTGTGATTGCAGGCTTCTAAATTCATTCAATCTTTCAGTGGCGGTCGCTCATGGGTCATCTAGGTTGCACATTGCTCCGTCTGGCGGCTTCTTAATGGCCCTGTTACCCACCCGGTGGCTCAAAAATCCTACCCCAGAAAGATGTATTTTTCTACTAGAATCAAGACCCAGTTCAGCCATCGTTATCCCTTGGGAAAGCAACCACTTAGTGTACAGCTTTCTCTCGTAGGCCTTTCTCCCAGTTCCCCCCTTACCCCATTGCTTTTGCGTGGCACACCCTAGAGCACAGATTACCCAAATGGGTGAAATGTAGTTTGGCATAGTTGATTTCGAGCTCAAGAGCAGCTGTTCTCTGTAGGTGTACTTGCCATCTTTTCTAGTCAGTAGTGCCCATAGTGGATCTTAACGGTAGCCGTGCAACGTCAATTTCTGCCTTTCAATTTCGATTTCAATTACGGCAGTAGCATTCTATAGTTTAGAGCTAGCTTTTGTAGTTTCGCAGGATCTGTGCCAGGCCTTTTCACCTATTCCTTCCTCGTCGCCACAAATTAACATCACAACTCTTTACAGATTGTCATGCTCGTTTTCATGGATGATTCTCATGGTTTTTATTGTAGTCGTATATTTTAGTAATTTCCAGCTAAAACATGATAAAAACTGCAAAACTAGCGCGGGTAATGTTTGTGGCGATATAGGGTGCAGGCTATTTCCAAGGGGAATGCGGGTGACAAGTCGTGGTACATCATTGTAGGTTTCTAGGAGCAGTTCATCTCGGGGATGTTCTGTATCCTTCCCCCTGTGCTCGTTAAGCAGTCCATGCTGAAGCGTTCTGGAAGCTGTGTTTCTGAGCAACCAACTCCTAGAACCCATAGTGCTGTCGAGAAGTTCTAGTCCATGTTCCTCTCACAAACTTTTGGTCGAGCCTTGTATGAGCAGTGCCTGAGGTGGTGGTTGTGTTAGTGATTTCCGTACTTCACCGGTGTGCCTTTTTTAAACGGTAATAAAGATTGTATGAATTTATTATTAATTAACTACAGTAATTCATTCACAACACTCCGAAGAAGCGAGCAACAGTCGTAAGAATCGCTCTCTGTACAGGTGGAATCACATTCTCGACGTCTTCAACCGATGGAATGTCGATCTTTGGGATTTGATCCAATGTCGGGAACGTTAACGGTGGTAGTGTAGGTAAAGGTGTCGAAGAAATAGGTTGAAGCCCTGAAACGAAGTTAAGTTCATGCTGTGTTATCTGCCGAAGTCGATCAGCTTATCTGGGCAAAGTCGCGATTTTTTCATTTATATGGACATGGTTGTTGACAAAGTCCATGGTTTGTCGCGCGATTCGCGCGAACCGCAAAAATTGCTAGTGCCCCATTTGAACATTTGAAACACTGAATGTACAAGTAGAGTCATGATCAGCCGTCAGTCAACCATCACCATCATGCAGAAATGGCGGCGGGGTAAGCCTGGGATAGAAGCACATCAGGCTAGTTCGATGGGAAGATTGAATGCGAATTGAATGAAATCGCTGAAGATTTGGTAGGGTAGGATAGTGCACGAACTGATCAGATACGTATTGATCGGTTAAACTAAAGACGCCTAATCTACTACTCTTCAGCGATTTTGGTCGATACGTATCTAACTTTTCAGCGAAATATCCTACTCTACTATGTATTTGTGTACAAAGTGCAATATTGAATCGCGCTGGGCTCTGCAACCTGTTAGGTAAGTGCCAAATATCTCCAAATATTTGAAGTATATTCACGCAATAATTCAGGGCTGAAAAGGTTATTCTCCCAAGTCGCGAACTATGAACGCGGTCTAAAGAGCAGGCAGGACGGGTGCTACTGTCGAGGCGATGACAACTCTTGATCCCATCCGTGACAGTCCCCTTTCATGTACAGTGTCCCACAAACGCAGGTGAGTACCAAGTCATTAGATATTTGGCGACACAGACGTGACACCAGCTAATCAGCAACCCGCAGAAACATGCTAGTATCGATTCTTTGAATCACGTCGCGCGTGCTATTGTCGTTCTGCTGGCGCAGTAGTGCACGTGGCGATGACCGCAAAAAATCGACGTCTGAAATGCTATTTGATAAGCTTTTGATATCTTCTGATGCTATTGCTTATCTGATGGCACATATGCCTTCCTAAATCCGCATTCAACGAGCTGTGAATTTGCGCGAGGCCCGGACTGACCATTTGATACACACTCCTTGATGCAGCGCTGGAAGGTGAGCAAAGTGTCGAGGAAATTCCTCCCCCCCCCGCCCGTATCATTCGTGAACACGATGATTCCGATGGTGGATGGGTCGATGGGTCGATGACACCAGTGGTGCCGTTGAACCTGTCTACAAGACTTATATACTCTATCCCGGAAGACTGGAAGACTGTCGAGTGTATATGACACACCACAAGTGACTACGGCTATGAAGAAAGTTGCTTTTTCTACCCTTCTTTCTTGGCCGTCGTCTTCTATGTTGGGTGGTCTGCACTTGACGCTCTTTTCGTCTTCCGAAATCACAGAAGGTACTCCATGCTCCTCCCCAAAAGTACGATACTGAGCGCTGTGAATTTTACGCGCTATTTCCCACTTCATTATCCCCACTGTACCCTCTGTCTCCAAACATACAACCCAGGACTCTCTCCTCCCATCGAACCAAACACGACCCAGTCGCGGAATCTTCGATCATGGCTCGCTCTGCTGCTTAGTATCGTGTCATTTATATTTTGGACAGTGTATTTGAATGAGGTCTACCTCTTACCTTGCATTTGGAGCTGAGGTTGAAGTTGAGGCTGTTGCTGCGTGGCTGCAGGAAGTTGTTGAAGTGACGTGAAAGGAATGGGCTGCTGACCGTACACACTTCCAAGGGGCTGTGGGAACTGAAAATAAGAAGATGCTCCTCCAATATTGGCAACTGCTGTTTTTGGCCAGCTCGCCATGCGAAAGTTACCGCAACATTACTCAGTATGGGCAAACTCTTCATCCAAGGCGGGATTCGGGCCCCCATCTTTTGCTTAGTGGAGAACTATGCTACCAGTCGCACTACCGGAGCACCACTTCACCTTAGTCGGCTTTTCATGGGTACTTACCATAGCTTACGTGCTATGTAGGTATGCCATGAAAGCTTACAAGCGATGGTAAGTAAACCATAGAAGGCTGAACTGAATTAAGCTGTAATGGTGCTCCGCCAGTGTAACCGGTAACAACAGTTGTCCGGTAAACGAAAGAGGCGGGTTCGAATCCCTTCTGGGGCGAACAGTTTTGCCCAATATTTAGCCTCTTTGCAATCGCCTTGAACATTAATTCCTCTACCTGCTGCATGGGCACTTGATAGTATGGACTGAATTGTTGAGCTGGGAGAACTGTCTGAACGCCAGGAGTCTGAACCATGTTGTTCATTTGCGCAGCGGTGTATTGTGGCTGCGGTTGGTTCATGGGTTGAGATGGCGCAGGTTGTTGTAGTTGTTGTTGTTGATATCCTGGTGCACCTAGAATTTCAGGTATTAAGTTGGCCTAGTGCACCATTTTGTGGGGATATCTTAATGTTACTAGCTTGACCTCCAAGGTCATTAGTGGATCCTTGTGGTGCGCTGTACTGAGGAGCTGGAGGAGCGGCTGCTACACCATAACCGTTTTGTAATTGCTGAGTGTACGTGGAAGCAGCTGTCACGTAATCTGCCTGAAGATCACTGACTATCTGTTGTTCATCACTAGGTTTTAGTAAAAGTTGATGGATACGGTTTTTGTTGTAGCTTGTCCAAAATTACAGTTCTTTTATTAGGCTTAGTTCCGGCCACTTGGTCTTCGTGATAGAAACGTGAGCCTAATAAAAGTACTGAAATCTTGGACAGGCTGCAACAAAAACCGTATCCATCAACTTCCATGCCAAGATTAAGAAAAGCCGTTCTTTATTAAAAGTATCCGTGCAAAAATGGAAGAACTGGTTCTCACCGGTGGTGTTGATGAAACATGGGCAGTATTTATAATACGACGGGGAAGTTCAAGCTGTGACTTTGTCGCAATTCGTTTCTGAAACAGGAACAATCATCCGACAGCCTGTCAGCATGCTTGCAAATAACAGTTTAGATTATATTACAGTTCATCACTGGGTTGGTTAAGGTCTTTCAAGCACTGGGTTGGCTCATTCCACGACCAAAATGGATTGAATGAGGGGACCACTCTAAAGCTGGTGGTGGTGAGGGGAGGTCCATCGAGGTTCTTGAAGGCAAAGTTCGGGCTCAGACCCACCTAAGAAGTCCCTACCATGGCTAGAAGTGCTGGGCATGCAAGTGCAAAGGTAGCGCCGCCATTCTACATCGAAACCCGTCATCAGGACCCTAGGCGCCATGGACTTCTTGTTAGAAGACTCCACAAAACATAACATGGTCCGCCCACCGTTCGTTATCTTGTCTGCGTCGCCGCGTTGATGTGCTATGCTCCCTCTTCTCAGACTTCTCTACCACTCTCCGCGCTCACGTCATCTCTCATCTCCATGCCTGTCTTTTGAACTTATCCACAGCAAAGAGCAAAATGCTCGTAATTCCTTTGTATTTAAGGATTTTCTTTCCTTTTTTCTCACTTGCGGCCACCTCCCACCCCTACTTTCACATTTGAGTGGAATCACCTCACCAATTTGATTCCGATTTTTGCCTTCAAGAGAGGAGGTCGTAACATTATTTGAATTGTGACAACATACAGTTGGCTTTGGGACAAAGGCTGCTACTGTCATTAGGATGTTCTTACAAGACGCGTTTGAGCTGACACTCGGGAAAATTCCCCGGAACACCCGTTCATTGTACTATTATTTAGGAAGAATTTTCCCAAATCTTGGGTATCGTCGTATTTGAAAGCGTTCCCGTGAGACATTGTGAATCACGTATTGTGATGAAGATTGATTGCATTGCAAAATGTTTCCCATAGAATGGCTGTCGTTTTCTATCTGTTCGCCGGAACTATGGGGTCGGATTGGAATGGATGCGCTGAACTGGAAGCGTATAATCATTATCAAAGCTGCGCCGCGTAGATTGATTGAACTTGGACTGAAACGTATAATGCTGGATTGGACCCCGATAAAATGAGGAATTAGAGGAAATGAATTATTACTTGAGAAAGCCGCGTTCACGGCCCATTCCATCTGAATGGCCTTCACAAATATTCGCGACCGTTGCGCTGCTTCAGACGATTCGTTTCCTTTATACGTGGATTACCTGATGCGTGGCGAAAGCAGGGTCAACCGTCCATTTGCACTATTCAAACGAAGGGGTCGCTTTCGTATTTTCGTAGAAGGGGATCGCATTCCGGGTTGAGCAAGGTTATCATTTTGGGAGTGGAGGTTAACGGATGTCGTTAAAGGGAGTTCTGTTCGGATGGGTTTTTGGTGAATAGGGTCGAAACTTTACGAGAGTAGTGAGACAGCACCATACTAAGAAAGTAGTGAGAATTATGCAAAAGCGGCGGATTTGCTGCTTCATGGTACCAGTTGACCAGTTGACCCCCTTCCCCTCCCCTCCTCCCTCCCAACGCTGGACCATCGTTTTGGAGGGAAAAGTGGGCGGAGTTGAGTTGTGGGGCTGTATTCCTTGGAATCAATACTATGGAAACACCATGATGGTGAGGGCGTGGTGGTCGGATAAGGGGGAGGAGGGTAGCCTTCTACGACTGATGGTGCTGGTAGGGGATCGTATCGAGATCCCCTAAAGAAGATGGTTCGCAAAATATTTTTTAAGAGCGAACGGATGGTTAATCTTGGGCAAAATTGGTGAAGTGGAAAGTGGTGCTGCTAACCGCGCGGCGCGGTCCGGGGGTTAAATTGTCGGTTAATCGGTACCAGACTTGTCTGAGATGATGAGAACACTGATTTTAGATCGGCTGGCTTCCGCAAGTCATTATATAGGCTACGTCCCATTTAAGTTGCCACTGCGATTCTGAATGAAAGTAGAATGTGTGGCGCATCCCAAGACGGGATTGATTAATGCCGAATGCTCTATCCTTTAGTTACCTGTTGCAGTATTCCCAGAGTAGGTTACCAAGGATTCTTGCCAAAAATGACACAGTGGTGGTAATGCATCAATGGCCCAATGATGACACTCTCAGGAATTATGGCAGGTCCCCCCTCCCCCCCCCCCAGCTCTCAGATGCAGGAAATCTAAAAAAGTAAGAAAGAGGTTAGGATGAAGTTCTTCCCTACATAATGCTAGGGTGTTTGATTTAATTTTTGGAGGACCTTAGATTTGACCTTTTCGTTGTCCGCAGAGGCTAGCCGGTGTTAACGCGGATCGTTGGCTATCATCCTGTGTAGGTTTTATTAGAAAAGGGCAAATGAGTATCATTAAAGTCTCATTTTACAGTACAACTCACAAAATTTGTAATGATCGCTATTGTTGAAGCCTGCACTTGTTACAATGGGGAGAAAGTAGAGACAATAGGCATTTTGTGTCTTATATGCTCAATGAATCTTAACGAAACTAACACAGGACGTCCGCACACGTGCCACTTGTGGAGTCATTGGTGTTAGAAGTACTAGAGGTTTAGGGGACTTAGCCGAAAAGCCTTCATGCAAAGCCTCGAGCTTATTCAGGCTTCGATGACGAAGTGAAGTCGAAATATGGAAAAAAAGCTGCTTAAAAGTTGCATAAGAAAATATATTCAATTCGGCATACCTTACCGAGGATTCAACGAGCTAGAAGATGAAGTGAGAAAGTTTTCTACCAGGGATCTCTCCCATGAGAACCGCGAGCAATGAGCTTCCATTCAGAGTCATAGTGACTCTTGAGCGGGCGTCTAGTTCTCCATATATAAGGTATCATAAATTAAATGTCTGCTTCTATTTCTTCAGGCGTGTCACTAGTGGGCCGATCACGTGAGGCCGATGTCAGACTTTGTGAATCGAGTGGTGAGAAGCCCGACTCACAAAATCTGACATCGGCCTAAGGTTGACAGAAGGTCTGACTGCCTAAATGCGACTGTATCCGAGACTTTGTCCCCCCTCCCCTCCTCAGAGCTTGAACTAATTACGTTTTCAATCAAGTGGGTGTCCCCCAAGAGGCCCATCGCGCGACGAAAGAAGAGGCGCAGACGCGGCAAAGGACGAGTCGCAGCGCGTGCTGTGCGATATGAGACGTAGTATGGTGCACCCTATTTAACCTGACGCCTAACCGCTACTGTATACGCTGCGACTCGACCTTTGCCGCTTCTGCGTCTCTTCCTTCGCCGCACGATGGGTTTCTTGAGGGACACCCCAATTAAGTTGTCTCGATTTATAATTACTTAGCTCGAGATCAAGAAATGATTTATCAACACCGATCCCTAATCAAAGAAAGTGGAAGAACTTGGAACGATTACCCACCTTGTTTTTTGGTCGAGCGTCACCGTCGAGTTTTTGAAGTACTGCACTTTCTGAAACATTTGAAGGCAATGTCATTTAGCACACCCACTCTCATTTTGTGACATTAACAAAGGGAGTGTGGGGAACGGTGGGTCACTTGTTTACGAAATTTGCCTGCACCCATCTACTTCCTTCCCCCTAAGACCTATGCCACTTCCCGAATAGGGTCATATTCAATTGCGTATTGATAGCTTGATGTCCTGCACAAATTCCAGCTGAATGGCTGGAGAAGAATATTAAAAATTTTAAAGTTCTCAAAGTACAGTGAAAAATCCGAAATTTCGCAAAATTTTGTGAAAACCTCCCAAAATTGGTTTTTCCGAATGAAGTCTTTTTGACAGCTCCGAAGATACGCTGCGAATCCTATCAAATAGGATGCCATTGGGAATTTCTTGTAGGATGTACTGAGTGAAATCACAGATCCGCATTGAAGTGTGACATGAGAAACCTCACTGAATATGAACTACTGAGTGGTTAAAGCGGGCTTTCGCGTTAAGGTCGGAGGTCGAAGGAGGGGCAACTTACCTAGTGGGAAGACAAACGGCCCCGCTAAGGGTGTGGATCGACAAGCAATTCGCGATGAAGGAAATTTTCCTAGCGATCTAGCATGACCCTCCCCGCTGCGCTGTCGGCGCGGTACGCCTCCCTCTCGCTGTCTGACCTTCTAGCAGAGAGAGCATTAGCGTTGAAGAGGGCAGCAGCGATGAGAGTTGTAGCAATGCGGAATTCAACGGACAATGAAGGGATGCCATTTCTCGGATATTGAGACATTTCTCACGGTTTCCTTCATCCCTACACCACTGACCACCTCCACCTTGATTAGTAAGGGGCTAGCTTTTTTCATCTAAATCTGCCAAGAAAAGGCAACCATTTGAAGGGATTTCATGAAAAATTGAGAAAAGTCAAAATATACCAGATACACTGCTGCCGTCAGTGCATGTCATTCGTCGTATCGCTACTGCGTAAACTGTCCTGAAACCAGGCCTTTCACAAGTAGAACTAGTAAAAATCTGTTCGAGAAGAGAATGAGCCTACCTGCCATTCTTGATTCCTTCAGTCTTTATATCCGCAATGTAGTCGAAACCCTCGAGCACATCACCATCCATCACTTCGCCACCGACAACTAGTTGACCCTAGAAGCTTAAGAGATGACTTTTCGCCTACTGGTAGCGGGATAAAAGCGATAATGGCTCATACATTTGTGACCATCGCCACTCCTCGATCTTCAGATTCAACTAATGGGGCGTACCAGCAGCATCGAACCTTCAAAGTAGAGCAAAACTCATCGAGGTTCGACTACCCTGCGCAATCATTTCATCCTAGAACTTGTTTTCAAAGCTCTCACCTGTAACTCTGAGCCTTGCGCAAGACTCTGAGGAGCGATCCCACCTACCCATTGTCCTGCCACACATCCTTGCCTTGAGTACACCTCTTCACATTTCTGAATCACTGAGCTCATCCCGAGCACAATCAGCCTGAACAAACGTGAATCCTTACCGCCACTCGTGCAACCATGTCATCATGATACGGTGAACGAGCCACTTGATCGGAACGTCTCAAATAACCATCTTCTTTGCCATTGATTCTGAACAAGAGCTTGCAATCTGATTCCTTTGTTGTCATGAAAAAACACCCACCTATAGAATTGAGCCGTTTCTTCTGCTCGGGTGCCATTAGCGTTCCAGCCGAAGCAGTTTGGACGGGCACAACCTAGCACTGGTAAACCGCTGTGGAGAACCTGCACGTAATAAGATAAGTCTCCTATGTTTCAGAAAACGCGTAGAGCTTCGAGTGCAGACCACACACCACAAGTTACGACGGCCGTGAAAGAAGAAAAGAAAGAGCCATTTTTTTCGTGGTCGTCGTTAATTGCGATGTGTGGTCTGCACTCGACGCCCTTCTCGTTTTCCGAAATAGAGGGTACCTTAGCTTTGAGGTTGTTTTGCCACAGAGCTGCATGGTTAGGAATCTGATGGATTTTGTTTTTCATTGTAAATTCTTGTAGGACGATCGCAGCTGTTACCAATCGATACTGCATCTAATCATGAATAAAAGGGGAAATGCTAATTCTACCCACAGTGCTTAAGAAATTAGGTCAAACTAGCCGAAAGAATTGAATCAAACGAGCGCCAGCGTTACGCAACTTTCAAGATGCACACACCCTCTAATTCGGAAAATGAGAAGAACGTCGAGTGCAGAATATACAGCGCAAGTGACGGCGGTCAAGAAAAACGTAGCATTTCCTCTTTCATTGGTTATCGTCAGTTGTGGTGTGTGGTCTGCACTCGACGCTTTTCTCGTTCTGAAGTAAAGGCTACCTGAAATGTGAATGGAATAGCAGCCTGTCCGCAGTACGAGGCTCGGGTGTATTGCACGAGGTAGATGATATGTAAGCAACAGAAAACTCGTTGTATCATCTGTAAGAGCTTAGAATGAAAACGACAACGAGAAATTGCGGGCGTCTTTTGAAGTGATGTCGAGATAGAATCTAGCTTTGGAGATTAAAGCAGATCGCTCTCGATAATCTGAATTACATGTGTTAGGCTTGAAACTCTAGCGCCGACCCCTATACGCCATCAGATATGTGCATTATGGCGTCAGAATGAATTTTGATGGCAATGATGGCGTCAGATATTTTGATAAGCGCCCGAATACTCAACGAAATCGAATGCCGAATGGGAATTTTGATCAGCTGAAGACTTTGACGGATTGTGGTCGAAATGCGTCGTCGAATGACACTGTGCGAAATCGACTGAGGTTTTCGGATCGGCGAAAGCGAATCGTCTACAGGAATAGAGGTCAACATCCACGTCAGTGATATCGTGACTCGGCCTCGATCGCGGCTATCCGAACGCTCGCACTTTCATTTTCTTCACTGATTTGAATCAGCGTCCCGTATCCGAATTTCCGGTTCTTTTTTCTCGGAACAACCGGGCAGGAGGGATTCCGGAACGGAGCAACTGTCAGGACGTTTAGTTGCAATGGGAACATCCTAGGATCACCGTCTGTTTGGAAACCCGAGCGAGGAGTGGGGTTCAGGGGAATTTTCCTAAAATTTCCATGAAAATAGCATTTAGTACGCGAAATTGCTGAAATAGTCGCTCTATCGACTATACTTACCCCATACATCCGTTTGAGGCACTTCTGGAGGAGTTCTGTGGTTTTGGGTGGTGTTGAAACATCACCTAGTAACAGGTTGGATACTATAGTTGGAGAAACAGTAATAATAATAAAAAAGCATAGAGCATTTGCCGTTGATCAATCCCTTCTTGGGATGCGGCACCATTCTGCTTCCATTTGTAAATTCGTAGTGGCATTTGAATGCGATGTGGCCTATACAATGACTTGCGGGGGCCAGCCGATGTACAAGTCAGTGGTTTTATTCTCCCAGACAAGTGTGGAACCAATTAATCGACCCCAGAGGGATGGAATGCTTGGTTGGCCCGGGCGACTCACGACCCAGTATTTGATCCCCGGACCGCTCGCGTGGTAAGCGTGCTACTTGCCACTACACCACTTCCGCCCTAGTAATAAATAATAATAAATAGTAAAATAGTATGGGGAATCGAGAGGGGATTCTTGGTATTTCTGAAATCGGCTGAACGTAACGGCTGCCCCTGGCTTGGTGCACTCTCTTGAGGTGCGACATGTTTAAGACTCTCTATAGAAATCGCAGAAATTTTTGAATGCGCGCATGTAATATACAACGGTCTCACGGAACCCAGCGTTGAGAAAGCAGGGGTACCCTTGTTTGAGGCAGTTCTTGTCAACCAAATGAGACTAAGCTCAACTGATCACATGAGCTTATGAGTGAATGGCACTTGCCGCTGCAACCGAACCGTTCAAAAATAAAAGCACCATGTCACGTTCTGGTCAAGGTGAGGCAATGGCGAGGGACGCCATTCTCGCACTCATGGTTTGGAAATGAAGTCCAAGACTGAATCTGACCCAGACGAAACAATCTATTCATTTCCGCGAGATCGGCTAATTGGTGTCATATTCGTCTGGTAGGAGGAGAACCCTGAAATCTACGTCGGCTGTACCTCGCATTTCACTTTGTAGACCAAGCACGCATTCGTAAAAAAAACGGCGATCCCAGTGAAAGTGGAATGCGTGACGCATGTCAAAAATAGATTGATCAACGACAGGCAATTCGTCCTTCATCATTCATATTGCGATCTTTTCTGATTTAGGAAATTCTCTGATGCTGCATGAGCGGATGCATAATGTCTATAAGAAGTAGTGCTTCAGTATGCCAGCCCAAACACTGTGCAAACTTCGAGCTCAGATCGGTCCTCAACTAAATTCTGCGTTCCTTTTTCTCAGACTGCTTCAGGTTTTGCAATAGGAATCATTCAGACGCACGGACTAGAAGAATTGGTCGTCGGGAATCGTCATTGTCAGGTGGATGGCTTTGTCTCTAATTGCCTCCGTAACCAAAGTTCCATCACTTCTGTTTGAGATTCCATCTAGGCCATGAAATCGGCGCATCAAGAGTGAGCTATGAAAACATTCGGCGTTGATCAAGCGTTTATACTTTACTAAGTCCATAACCATCATGCGAAGCAACGGAAGAATTTGATTACATACTTGGCTCACACATTTGATTTGCGAGTGTCACAACTCCGCGAGGAGCGGTCAACAGAATCGTCCGGTTGTTACGCCGCCACTTGCAACCACTTGTGCGACGCCGGACGGCGGCAATTTTACGATGTGCGCGGGATTTTCGAATTAGACGGGTATAGCATCGAAATCCTTGCAGTCCCCAATGATCTTCGTGAGGCGCTACGAATTCCAACTTACTTTCTTTGGCTCTTTCAAAAAAAATGTGAACAAGTTTTTTTTTAAATTTCATTGTCGAATTATTATTGAAAAATGCCGGAAAAAGGAATAGGGAATAGGAAGAAAAAGGAAGAGGGAATAGGAACTATCCGCGTATTGGTTGGAGTTGAATTTAAAGGGATGGGCCTGCTCTGGCGTCTTTTAACATTCACATACGAAACGCACGCAGGAACTCGTCCACTGTAGTTGCGCTGCCGCGGCCGCGACCACCACCACGGGTGTCTGGATGATTCTGTAGACACACCCCTAACCTACTCATGAAACGATCTGATCCATCTAGCATAGACGTGGGATGTGCCTCCAAATGAAACGAGCTTCGTACATTACGAAAACAATCGAGAAAGCTAAAGTTTCGGTTTTTTGGCAAATATCCAAAAAATGAGTTGTGGAATGCAGTTAGTTTTCCCATTAGTTACTCCATAAGTAATTTTTACTACAGCAGCATTGCTCTAATCTGAAGAATTAAAATAAGTTCTGTTAAATTTACGATCCTTTGATCTTCTATACATGTGCTGATCGAATCAATTTCGAGCCCACACTACGAACAAATGCGTTCGAGGGCTGCGATTTTTCCGAATCTTCTTTTTTTCTCGATTTTTCCGCGGAACCTTTTTTTTCAAGGAACTAAATACTGGAGACCTCTAACAAGTTGTGTTCAAATGTTCATTCCTATTTTCTACTTTTTTTTCCTTCTGCTTTCTCGGTTCGGTTTTCATTACATTCAATTTGTTTACATGTTTGCCAATCAGCGCATCGTGTCTACTATTATGTAATATCCAAACACGAGGTTACAGGAAAATAGTGAAGGAGAATAATAATGCGGGCCAATCGACTGCTATACTCTTGATATATATATGCAAATGATAAAATGAAAAAAGGTAAAGCATTCAGGCACTGATGCAATCCCATTTTTACATTTTAGCTTCAATCAGAAACTGTATGACAAGCTCGAATGCGATTGGCCTATACAGTGGTTGCAGGTCCTAACCCGATGTACGTTGTTTATCCCCTAGCCAGTCTGGGGCCACAAACGGCCTCAAAGGATGGAAGGCCCAGACTGGCTTGATGTGCCAGTTCTAGGATTCCGGCAGAGCTGCCAGACCCCCACCACATTATGAACTTACAGACAGTAAGCAGCGCCCCTTTGCCCACTCCCCGCCCCTTATGACTTACGCCTAAATCCCGCGTAGATAGGAGCCGGTCCCATAGAAAATATGTTTCAAAAATGAAACAAAAATAAAAATATTTTTCAAAACTGCATTTTTTACCGTAAATCAACTCGCTCTATCTATGGAAATTTGTATCCAGATCGAATGGGCTCTTCAAGTTCTATCCAGAGAATCACACATTCGCGCAATTTCTAGAGAGATTCCCGAGAATTCCGTTAAAATCGCATTTTTTCTATATTTGAATTGGTTTTATTAATGGGGCGTGGTTTGAGTTGGAGGGACGGAGCTTTCTTCTAAACTTCTTCTCCGATTATTTTAATGCCGCATCCATACAAGTAGAGGGGTACTGCATTCATTTCAATTTCATTCCAATTCATTTTTCAACCGGTAAAATACACCGATATTATCTATGGATTTTTAAGGGTCCAACCTTCCTCAATGGAGTTACCTTAGAAAATTTCGACAAGGCTAGCCGATGTACCGGCACGCACTCGTTTTAACCATTCGAACTGAAGAAGATGCCTGGTCGCATAGCAGAACGAAATTAAGTTTGGCCGTTAAGCAACACAGATGGAGAAGACGCAACTATCCCACCCACTCGCGGTTTATGCA